ACCCCTTGTACACATATGTTCACCTTCCTGTGAGCAGGGCATGGGGGTTAACAAGGTAGTTAAGACATTCCCTCTGTGCCATATTGGCCCAGTCAATGACATTAATGGCCTCAGGAGAATATAGCCACCCCAAATCAGCAAAGTAGCTTAACCTTCCATGAAATGTGGTCTCCTTCTTGGAGGGGGATCACGAAAGGGGGTGATGAGAAGAAAAACAATTAGTGCAGAGATTGAAAGAGCAGCAACAAGTTGACCCTTAATTCCATTCTTCTGCCATATGGTGACTGCTCTCTGGAGCCTCCGTCTGACTAATTAGTAACAGTAAGTGCAACTTACTGTTATTGCGTGTTCACAACTCCTGGAATCACGTTAAGCTGATGGCTGTCATTGCATATAGCTAATAACATCTAATTCAGCTCTGTAATCAGATCAGAAAGTAGCAAAAACACAAAAAGTACTGATGTGCCATGTCCACAGTTTGATTTCTGTATGTAATCCTGATTAAGTCACTCTTGATTTTAGGAAAACAACGTCGTATTGAAAACAGAGCTCTTTCTGTTGGCCTAAACTGGTGTATAAAAGGATTACAAACTGGGGGCTGTCTATGAGGGTTGTGAACACACACACACACACACACACAAACCTGCTGTCTGAATCAATTGTATAATCCTGAAATAAAGGACAAAAAAGTTTAGATTTGGAAAGCTCCAATAGTTGGAATGGTGTACATAATAAGAGTACGCAGCGAATTAGTTTTGGATTATGCACGTCACTAATACAGCTATCACATAGGGAAAACTGGCTGCAGATGCTTAAATCTATATACTGTCTTATACTAGTGCTGTTCATAAATACATTTCTGATATGCTTGAGGTTACTTAGTATTACCTCAAGTCAGAACGCAGTGGAGATGCATTTAGCCCACTGTGATGCATATAAATAGAAACCAACTTCCTAATGATCTTAAATCACTTTATTTTCTGTTTCCTGTTTTCTTTTATTAAATCCCTCTACTGCATTTGTATTTTCTTTATTAACTTTGGGCCAATTGTTTGTGCCTAATTTTGTTTTACTCTGCTTGAATTGATTTTATTCTCCTTAGTGTGCTGTATTTTGTTTAATGTTGTAATGCACTTCTTTGCTTAATGTAAGGCACTTTAAATAGCTTTACGTTAGATGTATGTAAATCACTGTATCACTGTGTACTATTAAAACTTGTATTGCTTCGGCTCGTGTACAAACAACAACAATTTGACTAATGTGACGAGCATACATGCCCAAGGCAAATGAACCTGCCAAAGGTTTGTACAAATATACACAATATAAATGCCTTGAGGCCTGGTAGCTTGGCCTGCAGTACTTTGTATCCAGACTGGGCAGACATAAAAAATAAGAATTTGCATTTGGTCAGACAGCCAGTGAAGAAAATTTGACATAGTCAATAAAGTTTGGTAAGTTTATGGACACACAATTGCATTTCCACTGCACTACAGGTGTGGTACAGTACACATTTATACTCAAAACACCATTTAAACCTACTCACACATAAACACATTTATACTGACCTAAGCAGTACTGGGTATGGTAATCTGCAGTGCCGTATCAGATTACATAACGCAGGTGTTACTCACATGTCAGGGGTGAGCTGATTATCTTATTCTTCACACTAGACATGGAATTTACATGTGCATATAACAGGTGCATATAAAAGGTCATCTTTGAGGAATGATTGCATGTTTGCATGTTTGCTGACAGTTCATGTTTGTGAACACACAATAAACAGAGCATATGTGGGTTTTTTTGGGGGTGTCTGACTCTCCAGTTGTCGGTACCGAGAAGATGCTGCTGCCATCAGCAAAGCGCTGCTTTGAGGTTTTGCCTGGCAGGGATAACTGTCATGTTTCTTCACTCCTCAGCCCTCTGATTGTTACGCAGATGCAGCCAACCTTTAGCAGCCTGCTACCATGAGCCAAATGGATGATTAAGTATTTAGTGGAAACATTTATGATGACAGAGCCCTGCAGATGATTTGACGCACGTCACCAATAAAGCCCTCTCTCATTTGCTTGGCAGATCAGACAGATGAGCTTTAGTTAAGTGTGAGAGTGCTGTTACCTTTCTACATATTTTCAAATACACTGGAGGTACATGCACTGCCGCAGGCATAAATGTGCCAGGCATACTTTTAGTGTCCTTCAGAGGATGCCCTTTATTCACAAATCTTTGAATCAGTCTAAGCAGCTTTTTGATATAATCTTGAATGCCAGCTATTGTCAAAGACTGAGATTAACTTTTAAAGTTGTCGGTGTCCTCTTTATGTGCAGGGAGCAGGTGCCTCAAGTTGGTAAAGCATACAATATGTCATAATTGATTATGTATTTCTTATTTTTAATTTTCGTGTGCTTTGAATTCATAAACCCTAATGCAATTTCCTTTAGGACTATGATAATACTCTGTATATAGTTAAACAACTTTTATAATGAAAAAAAGACAAAACTGGACAAAAGTATCATCAAAATAAACTTTAAAAAAAAACACTTTTTGTTAACAATTTCAGATGAATAAGATCAGTAATATTTCCCAGCAGGATAATCTTATGCCTGCTCTGTTACAAAAGCATAAGCTTCTGTTACACTGCACTCAGCATGTCCACCTGATTCCAATAGCTGCAGAGAATGGTTAACCAAGCTTGCATGGTTAAGCTTTGTTAGGTTCAGTTCAGCGTCTTTTCTGGTCCCCCCCCAAGTCAGATGAGGTAGAAGGATTGAGGTGTCAGCACTATGGCTCCCAGGGATTGCCCCGCCTTGCCATCTGCTGCCACTACTGTAATCCACTCGATGAGAAAATCAGTTGTCTCAGTCCATATCAAAGTCATGTCCACTCAATTCACCAGGTAAACTAACATCAGTGAGTCTGTAAAGTCCATTTAATCACTGATGAAGGAACTGAGAATCTTGTTTGGTTATGTCCTGTAAATAAAAGCCCACACTATTTGGCATAGATAAAATTAAAAATAATCTAGCAGAAACTTAAATATAAATAAACACTGACATGATTAAATGGTTTCAAACCTGAAATTGTTTGCTTTTCTTACAGCTAACTGATAATTTCGTCACACCATTATAAAATCGCTTGTTCTTTTGTTGTCTAATGACATCCTGAATAAATATTAAAAAGAGAGCCCAACATGCTCTTTTCCAGTGATTCTCAAGTTCTTTTTCCTCTATTTGAAATATATTATTCAGCCTGGAAAGAAAAGCCTTTACAAATTTACAAATTACAGAAAAACACTTCATTTCAAATGATCCATCACTAAATTCATGGAAACGTTTTTTTTTTTGTCCTCACCAATAACACAAAGACAACATTGGAGTTGCATTGAACTGCGTCTTTGTGATGAGTTTCATTTACAGTTTACTGCCTTGACAGTTTACATTTGTTAACAATTGCATTGAAAATAGGAATACTGAATATAAAATGTTTTTTATCGACCTTACATTTATATTTTTATTGAACTTATAACAGTAGTATATTAGTAGCAGTATAACTATTTTAGGAATTATGACTGATATTTCCGTTTTCTCTATTTGTCAGGAGACACACAATGAGTGCTGTCTCACCTGTAACTGCACAGGTCTTACTGAAAATTTCAGTCACTGTTGCAAAGTTACAGCCGATTTAACATTGTCAATCCCGGGTTGACCTCTAGAGGGAGACAAAAACCCTTTGACTGTGTTGTAAAAGTGTGGTCAGTCACAAGCAATGTAGCTGATGAGAGCTGAGTCAACTCACAGCTGATGAGTCAGAGATGATGTGTACATGAGACTGGAACATTTATAGGCTTGATTACAGTACAGTAACAGTAATACGATTTTCTAGGTCATATCTAACTGTTCAGGCCTACTGCATTTACTTCAGCTTTTATTTATTTTTTTATTTCTCTCTATCATGGTGCACTCTTATTATTTCTTATTATTGGCCTGTCAGCCATCTAACCTGTATGAAAGGTACTATACAAAAGTTTATTTGATTGATATCCATCATTAAATTAGACCTTGTTTTGTTTGGAGCAATCTAACAACTAACAACTCTATGAAACCACAGACAAGAATGTGATACTTGAAATCACAGGAAAAATGTATATTATGTAATAATGTGAAATTCTGTGTGTGTGTGTGTGTGTTGTTATCATTATGTTGCAAAACACATTCCACCACATACCCGAGAAACCACAGGAAATGCTTCTTTTTCCCTTCTGATACCCTTGCGAAGACACATGCGAACATTTCTATTATTTGTGGAAAGTAAACAAGAAGCCTATTTTCTCCCTCACGCACCCAACACACAGTAGCATATTTCTCTTTCTGTTTCTCTCAGCACACTTCTCTCTCTCTTCAACTCTGTCACCATTATTGGAGCAACAAATGGTTTCCTTTGTAGATATTAACTTAACTTGATGGCTTATATGTCATTCTCTAATCAAAATTTTAAATTCAGTTTCTGTCCTGTATTTCTTCTATATGAGCTTTAAATTGAACAATTTCTTTTCTCCCTTACTCTCCCTCTGCTCAGAGACCACTTGCTGTGTTTTTGTGTTGTAACTAATAGACTAACCTAATCAAAAGCTTCTGCATAGCTAGGTTTTCTGGGGTCATTCTCTTACAATTGCATTTCTACTTAGCATAGTTGTAGTTTCCAATTTTATGGTTTAGGGACCTTAAAGGAGTTTTTACTTGCTTTATATGTTCTGGGTTTCCTCCATACAGAAGTAAAAGTTGGACACCCTAGAAAATCTAAACTGCCAATATGTGTGAAAAAGGATGTCAATGTTTTTTTTTTATTATTTTTGTTAGCTTTGTGATTATGATGTGATTATGTGACAACCTGTCAAATCACCATGTGTAGGGACAACATGTAATGTTAATTAATTCTAAGTATTACATTAGTTAGAGTAACAGATGTTTAGGAAAGAAGGAAGGGAAAAAAACAGAGACAGTGTGTGCACAACAACATTATTTTATTACATTTCAAGGCAAGACTACTAGCTACTGGTATATATATAGAGTTAAGATTTAAATTGAAAATCTACATCTATATTTTGCATTTAACTTGCATCAACATGGCATTATAGTGCAGCATATAGGTAATGAGATAACTCCCTGAGAAAGTATAATGTACATAGTGGAGTCATGGTATCCTGAGCAGAGAACACACACTCACACTCACTTTGCCTGTGTTCCTATCCCAGCCCATCTGTGCTTTGTTTACAAATCCGGTCTAGCTGTGCGTGCATGGTACTGCGTGTTGAGTCCCTCTGTGTACAACTGAGGAGAGTTGAAACGGCTGTTTTTCTCATCTACATTTCTCATCTACAAAACACAGCTGGTGATTGTTGGAACAGTGGAAAGACTTTAAGTGTTTCTATCCACTTTGAATATAATTATGATGTTAAGGTGATATTATGCAAGGTAAAATTACTGTATTTGTCTATGGAGTCTGGTCGTGAGTGATAGGGATATTACGGCTGCTTATGGTTAAACAAAAGATCTTTCTCTTCAAGGATCCTTTCCATGTTGGTGTCAGACACTTGGAAAAACAATCTGAGGTGCAGACACAGGTATGGCAACATCTAAAGTAATATGAGTAAAAGTCCCCTGAAACCACTTAATATTTAATGTATTTGAGTACAAAACTGTTTCTATGGTGTGTTGTATACGCAGAGATAAAAAGGAGACGGCATTAAATCTATTACGACTAGACAGGCAAATTTGTCCCCAAGGATGCGCCAACATTACATGGCAGCCATAGCAGCTCGTTTGTTTTTTCATCTAACTAATTTAGGCTTTATTTCATTCAATCCAGCGCTGAAAGACTGTTGAAAGACAGTTTTGGTGGCTGTCCAGTGTGTTTTACGATTATCTGCAAGGCAAAATCTGTGGTTCTGTCAAAGGAGTCTGACCATTGTTTTGCATAGAGATGCTGGTGCTCTACTGCGACATCTCGTGGCAAGTGAATTTTATATAACCTTTCAGGCTGGAGAAACAAAATATTTTTTAAAGATTTTGCTCCACTTTAAATGTCCCACGCAAGATCCAAAATCAGCTAAGAAGGCAACTATGAACTTAGTTAGTTAAAATATTCTCCAGAAAAAAATCTTGCAATGTTAATCCATCCAACATCATCAAACACCTTGGTACTCATGTTTGCAGTGTCCAACATACAGAGGCTCTGCTCGGATGCCACGCCTTGAGGAGAAAGGGAAGCAGAAACAGAAAAGAAGACATTATGAGAAAGATCCCTGTGTCTTGTTGAGGTATGCTGGCACTAAGTTCTTTTAAGGTCCAAGGTAAAATACCTCAGGAGCTTGCAGCGAAAGTCCTGCAAACGAGGAAACGCCTTGTCCACATTGGAGGTCTGCTTCTCATCACTCCACAGTCTCTCTGCTGCAGCGCTTGCCCTTGGCCTGAGATTTTGGGTGCAATCAGCAATTATTTTAAATGATTTTATGAAATTGTTACTGCACTTACTTAGTTGATTTGTTTGGTGATTTTAAGGGTCTTTTAAATTTCATACCAAAGACGTGGAGAGAGATTGGTGGCATCAACATATTCTCCCCACATGCAGACCTCACCCCCTATCACCAGCTTCTTCTGTTCCTCAGTACCTGTGAAGGGATGGAATAACATGATTTCTTTTAATTAAGGGTAGGCTGGTAATGAGTTTAGTACAAATCAGAATCTTCATGTCAAATTTATCAAACCACTTCAAGTGAAAACTCAGCAAATGGGCCTAAATGGGCCTCTATAAAGGGTAATTCCCATTGGCAGCTCCCATCACCAGAGAAGTACCATCACCAGTACAAGTACTTGGCCATCCACACACCAGAAAAGTTCTGTGGCTGCACAGTGTAGTAGTTGCGCCAGTCCTGGCCATAGGAAATGTGGTTGATGTACCACGGGGCGGCCAGCAGGACCCTCATGCCAGCTTTGGTGATCCTGCCGAGCTCTTCCCGATACTTAGCTGGGGTGCCCTTCCAGATATGCAGCACTGTGTCCTTAGGAATCTGCGCAGGGTGACAAACAACATGCTGTCTTGCCCTTCTGTACTATATTGCTACTAACTTGTCTGCCTGCTGTATTGTTGTATCAATGGTTCTGTTGACATTTAGTATTTTATATTTCACAAAATAGACACAGAAAAAATCCTTAATGAGCTGTCATCAGCAAGGGCAACCTTCCCAACCCTTATATGGGGCAAAGCATCTGAAATTCAAATTCCTATACTGCGATAACATAGTCAAAACTAGGCTCATCAGAATATGCCTTCTCCAAAATATCACCATCTTGGAGCATGCTGTGCACTGTGCCTGATGAAACTAACGTATGAGAGAACAATGGGAACTGTATTGTATAAATCTATGCTTGCCAACAAATTTTCTCCCATTTCTTCAGAAGCAAATGACTGATAGACTTGGGCATTTGCTTTCATCATTTGACGCAAGGAGATTTGTAAAATAACTGCCAATGGAAATATTTTTATTATGCTGTTTAGGGGAAATCTGCATGTCTGCCACAAGCCTGTACAGACAGCATTGTGAGCATGTACCACAGCAAGCACACCTCTCTGAAGCTCCCAGTTCCATACTACATACTAATTCTAGGTGGAGTACTGTTTGTAGTGTGTGCACACGGTAACATTTAATTAAATTTAAAAAGTACTTTGATGTCTATGCTACGAAGATTTGTGTACAATACTTTTTGTATACAATTAGTATACCATATGGAATTGGGACAGAGAATATGTCTCTGTAACACTGATGCACGGACAAGAGCATCACTGCCACCTAGTGGTCTGGCTACAAATAAAATATTGTGTGTTGGCCTAACAGTTAAATGTTTTGGCCATGTATATCCTATATTTTACAGGAAACAACATTTTACCTGTAAATTATTATGAAAGACAAAAACCACAGCAAATAGTACAAGCCACAGCACACAGGTTATTTTCTGACCCTTGAAGGCGAGGGGCCACACAGTGTAGTAGCGGGCCCAGTTGTGTGTGGGTCCTGGCAGGTCCAGATACCATGGAGAGGCCAGAATAACCCTGAGCCCTGCTTTAGCCACTCTGCGCACTTCACACAGGTAACAGCCCTCTCTCCATACCTCCACCACTGACAGAGAGCTACGCTGCAAAACAATGCTGTAGACTATCAGACTTACATGAAATGGTTGTGTTCATCAGCCAACATACTGTTAAACATTGTTGGTCTGTTGATTCAAACCACTAAACCTGCTGAGGTCAAATGTTATTGTTGTTGTTGTTGTTGTTATATTTAAAAAAATTAAATATGTTAAACATATTAGACTATGTATGTGGATTATTAAGTGCTTATTCTAAATATTTTAATTATAATAATTATGTTTAAATGTGCATACCCCACTTAACTCTCTACATTGTCTTTTTCCTGTCTATTTCTTATTTAGTTTTTTATTTTTATGTATTGTACGGTGTTCCTTGAGTGCCCTGAGAGTATTATTATTATTATTATTTCCTTCTAAACACTGTCTGACTGTCTAACTTAAGATGGTGAAAATATATGCTTGCATGTGTTAGATCTCCTTCAGTGAATGCAGATACTTGGACATAGTATACTTTTTTTTTTTTACGTCTGCACCAATATCAGTGTGATATTTCAACTTATGTTGTAGACTAAACACATTTTTTAATCATATTTTAAACAATATCTATAAAATATACAGTTTTGTTTCATATCATAGAGGTTATTTGTTGGGGTTTACTTACTCGTTCATGGTAGTCAAACACATCTTGCCACACGATAGAGGTCTTGTTGAGAGCTGATGTGATATTCACAATGCTGGAAACAGAGACATTAATGATATTAGTAATGTTAACGTGTTTGTTGGTGTATTTCCCCTGAGCTTTCTGTGTGTTCCTACTTCTCCATGTAGAATGCTTCCAGTTTGGTGAAGTCTGATCCAAATCCCATCTTCTGCATGAATGCTCGGACATCAGGGTTGGATTTCCTGTGGAAACAATTCATTTATCTATATGCTAACTGTTTAAACACATTTTTCAGAAGCTTATGGTAACTTCAACAAAATGTATTTATCTCTTTATTTTACAGTAAATTCAAATACATGCACCTACATCAACTACTTTAAAATATATATTTTTTATTTTTGAATGGATGAAAACAAATACACAGATACAGACAATGTAGATCACACTGCAGTATCGGGCACTAAAAGATCTTAACAGCAGGACCGGACTTTGCAGACAAATAAAAGGTGTCCTTATTCGCTGCCAAGTCCAATAACAAAGTAAACAAACAAAAGTGATCAAAACCAGGAAATCCTGGGCCCTGTTCTTCAAAAGTGGTTTAACTCATTGCAGCTAACATGCAGTTATAAGGCTGAAATATTTGTATTTATAAGTTTATTCTCATCCAGCTAATTTGGTTCTTTGAATGCAGTTTGCGGATTGATTTGTTAATCCTGGATGAAGTTATGTTGAGTAACAGTGTGCTCTTATTTTGATAAAAAGGCAAAATTAGTAGAGAGTTGAAACCATGATCAGCATTCATATGCTCGGCTGAGTGCTGAACATGAAATTGCAGTTATGTGTACTGGGAACTTTTGTTGTATATTCTATCATGTATAAGTAGCTTAAGTTACTCCTCATTATGAAAATTAAATTGTGGTAATTACATCAAGAGATCATATCGATTTCTCAATAACCTGCATGTTCTCATAGAAAACCATAATTATATGAACACTCTTCCATTAAATATCTAATAAAGCGAACCATTTGTATCTGAAAATTAGTTTAAGTATGAAAAGACGTCTTGGTCATGATCCCACTGTCTATAAGCCTGCACTTTTGCAGGTTGGGTTTAAGGACTTGTTGCTATGACAACAGTTCCAGATTAATTTTAAACCTGCTTTGCAGAACCAAAAAAATCCATATTTGTGTCAAATTTTCCAATTTCCTAATCTTGATAGCTGAGTTATCCACGTATGAAGAACGGGCCCAAGTTGAAATCATTACAGTCAGCATTTAAATGATCTCTCACATTTTATCTTACCAGCAGGTAAAGTCAACCTCATCTCCTCCTAAGTGGATGTAAGAATCAGGAAACACTGATGACACTTCCTTAAACAGTCTCGCCATAAACTGGTAGGTGGAGCGCAAAGCTGGATTAACAGGACCAAAAGTACCTGAAGGGGTGCCCCCTTTGTAGCAGGGAGTCAACAGGCCTGGTTGCCCTGGAAAATAAATATCAGATTCAGATTTAGTTCAGCATTTGGTTATTTTCATTGCCTCTTGAGTTCAGGCATGTGTTTTTACTCAAGTAGCCTTCTAAGTAGATGTGAGTCAAGCTCAAAATTCAGTACATGTTTTGTTGCCATTTATAGTCTTGATTTGCAGGTTTAGCTGATTCTTGTGAAACTAAACTGGGCACAATGCCAAGTACTTTATATGTTTAAGATCAAGAAGCTGAGAAATAAAACAGTTATTTTTAAAAGCAAATGTAGCTCATTTTGTTTTTGAATTTTACCTTTTCCCCAAGATTTGGTGTGGCCGGGTGAATCAAACTCAGGAAGGACTCTAATTCCCCACAGCCTGGCATGTGAGATCACCCTTCTTACATCGGACTGTGTGTAGATGTGAGTCATCGGATGGAAAGCCCCCTGAATCAGAGCCAGAAGCCTTTGTTCAGGGTGGATGCAACTTTTCAGTATTTTTCTACCTCATGAATCCACTTGCAGTAGGCCTAGTTAAAAACTTAAAGGATAATATAAAATAACGAGTTTCATCTCCTGAAGTGCAGATAAAAAATGGTTACAAGCTAAATTATAATAGATGTGCAGAGTCATGGTGCACATGACTTGAGGTGGATAGCTATTTTTTTTATTACTTCATCCACATGACATACCTTACTGGAAAGATCTGGAAAGCTGCTGCTCTGATAAGGGAAGGAGGGGTCATCAACAATGTGCCAGTGAAACACATTGAACTTACTGTAGGCCATTGCATCCTAAGAAGAAAGACATATGTTAATAACACTGACAAGCGTGATCAACGAAAGCGAGGGCTGAAGTTAATTTTATTTTATTTGATTATTACCAGAGTTTTTAAAATGGCCTGCACGGGTAAATAATGACGTGACGTGTCCAACAAAATCCCTCTGAACTGAAACCGGGGGAAGTCTTCAATCTCAGTCTTGTTGATAAAATACTAAAAGAAGAAGAGAATCAGAAAAGGTATTAGATTCAATTGATCCATACTGAGCATTAATAAAGCTCTATAATAAGCTGATACTGTGTATAAGTAATGACTTCAGAGGCTTTGTGGGTTTGAGTGTTTAAATAAATTCTGACTTACAGAGCCAAAATCATTTTGATAGACCAGCTGACTGAAGGTTTCCAGACCTGTGCTTAATCAGAGGATATAATCAGCAATCATTTTAATCTTGACAAATAATGGTGAGATTCTTCTGTCAGTTAGTAAATTGGGTTGGGTAGCATGAGAAATGCAGTAAAACTTGCTGAACAGGTTTTGATTGAACCTATAATAGTTTGTTTCATTTTTGTACTTTTGTTCACACGTTGCTTGTACATGTCTTCAAAAATGTATTGGTTATAATCACCTCTTAAAGCACCCCACACGGTTTCTGCCTTCAGAGATGCTTGTCCTGCAGAGACACCCAGATTGTCTAGAAAACAAAACAGGAAGCAAGTTAGATAATGCATCAACCCCTACCTGCTGGGACTGTTGGTGACCTCATATACACGTGTTGACACTTACATCTCTCCGAAGAGTCCTCATTTGGGTAACCCTCACAATCATCGTGGTCAATACTGACCTCAACAGTAAATGGTTTATCCTGATTGAAATGCAGACGTCCTGTTGGTCATAAAAAGGGAAATAATTACTCACTAGTTGCTGGGTTAAATATTTTAAGAGAAGTGCATACAATGTCTGTGAACTTTCATTTTGACACAATCAAACTACCTTTATTCTATAATGTACAGTAATTTTGAAAACACAAACATGAAGCTGTGCCACTCCATTGGTTCATTGTCATTGTGGGGTTTTAGAGTAGGTAGGCCTACACTGCCTGACTGATGAACTGCTGCCTCCACAAAGCCCATTGAGCTATTTTAAAAGCCAACATGACAAACAGAACATTCAAAACAAAAGCCCTTTGCACTTTATTTTTGTCCATTCATAAAGCAGTCTTACACGTGTGAATCACAAGCTCATCTTATAGCCAGGCTTTACACATCTATTATTACATTTTATATCACATAGCACAGCAAATTATAGTCCTATGGAAATTATGGTATATAGTGCTGCCACAGTAAATTAAAATATGTAAGTGGCATAGAAACACTGTAAGTACATCTGTGAATATTTACTATTTGTTTTATTAGACTGGACCTTTAAACTTCAGCAAGGTGAAAAATCTTACTGTCTGTTTCACCATAGTCTTAATTCAACCTCACTTTATCACCTACCATCAGTGTAGTCTGGAAAAATAAGAGAAAAATATCTCCTAAATGCAGCATCCAGAACAGAACAACCCTGCTGTGCGGCTGATTGTCTTCCGTAACCAAAGTAGAAAGCCTGTGGGCTCAGCGGGTACCGCTCCGTTGAGGAGGTGAAAGCCTGCGGTAATGGCCATACTCCCTCCACTGTGTGCAGGCCAACCTGGAGGATACTCAGTATTAGTAAATACACATTTAAGCGAGTATATCGCCCAGACCTAACCATAAACATGACTTCCATATCACTCTACCCGGTGGACTACTACACTGTCAAACTCTGCCTGTCAGGTGCTGAAGAGCATGCAGTCATGTGACCGGGGCCACAAGGTGTGGGTGTTTCTTTTTTTAAATCAAAGGTGAAATAAATGCATTACACCGTGTAAATGTTGTTTTTTTTAATATATATTTAAGAGACGTATCCGTGCAAACTATTTTTTAAATCGCTCATAGCTTTGCGGTTTTATCATTAAAACACATTTGAGTTATGTGACAACTGAAGCAAATGCAAACGGAAACTGTGGCAGACGAAAAAAAAAAAATAGGTTACCAGGAATTAGGCTACAAAAATAAGGCTTGCTTGAATGCAGATCAAATTATGACAGTTTAACTAAGTCAAAACACCCGTGAAGGATTATAAGTAATGTTAGATGCGTATTCGTTATAAGTTTTGGTATTTTTTTTAACCGTCGGGGGAAGTGTTTTGTTCCTGCGAGTGTTTAAATCGGATGTATAATATTTTTGTGTGTATTTTTAAAAACAATTTAAAACACATCAATGTGTAGCCTAAATAAAAGTGTGTCATAGAATTTAAATTTATTTTTATTTTTTTTACATTTTCTTGTACAGCCCATCTGACGTAAGGCCAGCGTCAGTTGGTGACGCTGTGTCTCTTTGTTGGCTTAGCAGCGGCGACGTTTTGTTGTTATTTTCGCTGCAGCTGAAAAACAGGCTCGGATAATTTTGGTTTTCGTATTGTTCCGCAATCAACATTTCACACACAGTAGACCTTTAGGTGTGCTTGTCACAAGTTGATAACCACCCTAGGAATGGACTCAGACGAGGGTTATAACTATGACTACGACGACGAAGAGGAGGAATGTAGCGAGGACAGCGCCGAAGAGGAGCCCGAGGACGACACCCTGGAGCTCGGAGAGGTGGAGTTGGTCGATCCCGTGGTGGCCGGTGGGGATCGAGACGAGTGCGGCGAGACTGGTGGAAGTGGCCACGGTCCCGGTGAGGAAGAGGAGGAGGACTACCGCTTCGAGGTTTTGACTGCCGAGCAGATCCTCCAGCATATGGTGGAGTGTATCAGGGAGGTCAACGAGGTCATCCAGGTAGGTATTTTGGTATGTCAGCGTCAGGAAAGACCGGGGTCCAGGCTTGGGTGAAGCGTAAACAGGCCTTTGACGTTAGCTTAGCATTAGCTCTGTAGGAGTAGTTTACTTGCTGGAAGTTGGCAGTTTCACAACAGTGATAACGTTTAAACACACCAACATAAAAAAAATCTCAATTTAGCATTTGTTTGTGTGCGTAGCACTTAACACGATGATATGAACAACGTTAAATGTGCACATCAAAGTAACAATTTCCATGCGTTTTTTTTTTTCTTCTTCCAGGAAGTAGTCTAATCCCTATTGAGAAGTTGGCAGCAACGTTCGCTAAGCTAATGCTAGCTACCTAGCTACCTTGCTAACTAGCCAACTGTAACCGTTAACCTAGCAAAAAGCGTAACGTCTTTTAGTTCTAGAATCCGGTCGCTTGGCTGCCAGCTCCTGCTGGGTGACGGTTGGAGTGCGGTAACCAAGCAACTGAAGTCTTAAGGTTCTAAAATGTGTGTAATTATACCAGCGTTGACGTTATTTCAATGTTGGACGAAAGGCTTGGTCATCGAGTTGGTTAGCAAGTTGCATGCTAGGATACTTAACATTTACAAGCTGCCTTTGTCGTGAGCTCCAAACATTTTGGGACGGACCATATGGACGAACGTTATAGTTAATCTGGCGAGAAGTAAAGTTTTAAATTAAATGTCGGGGGGGAACTCAGCGGATCCCTTTGACTCATCGTTAACTCGGGCCTCCATTTCCGTTCACTTCACTACAGTTGGGCACAGGATAAAATGGAAAGTGGTCTCCGTAGACTTGCCACTATTTGCGTTTTTAATCAGCAGCGTTGCATTTTACACAAAGTGTTTTTGAGTGTCACCGTTTCACTATAAACGAGCCCCAAAACCAACATGGATAATGGTTTCTGTAGTGTGGATACAGTACAGCCGCATGTCAGTGGTTTCCACAGCAGACAACTGACATGGTGATTCCTCTAAAATAGTATTTAGGTCTACTTAATGTTCAGATTTTTGTGTATCTGAATTCTTCAACTTGGACTATGTGACAATAGGATAGTTAACTTGAATTTACTTTTCTTGTAAATGTCTCTAGTGACTGTGCCTTCACATGTCAAGAGCGACTGATTTTGCCTGGCCTCTGAAGACACTTTAGGGGTAAAGTTACAAGTGGTTGATGCTTTTTTTTTTGTCATCTTTAGAGACTTTGTAGATTTTCAAAGATTGCACTGCAAACTTAAGAATGACCTACTGTAACAGGCTAAACTTACATGAACATTGTAAATGGATATACTGACAGGTTTTTCTAGTACTCTCCCTCCCAGGTGTCTCCCCAGAAACGCCTCTCAGTAACTCAGTGCCGTTCAACACCACCACAAACTACAGCCTCTGAAATGACCATAACATAAAATCAACACCTCTCTAAAACATTATGAACAAAAACTGACCCTTCATGAAGGTAGCATTTATTGCCATATTGTTGTATTAGACAGCATTAGTTGTCGCTAGGGGAACCTAATAAAATACTTTCTGTTGTCATACATTATTGATACATTGGTATCAATGTCATGCTTTGTTCTCTGTAGGTGTATATAACTTTAATTGCATTGTTTTTATGCACTCACTCGTGCTTCGTGGCAGTTTTCCTGGCCTGTTTTTAGGTGACCGTATGTGTGTACACGTGTCTGAATCAATCTCTCTGAACTGAAAGCAATGCTTAATGCTTTGATGAAGAAGTGTATATGATCACTGACGTTTGAGAAATGATTGCTTCATTCTTTACAGATCATTTTGTATCCCAGTACACTCATTGTCACAGAGCACATCAGCAAACACTGTATTCCAGTAGTATTGTCATGAATTACCCTGATTCCCATCCCTCATCACGTCAAGATGGACCCAACTAAACATGTAAATGAAAAGGTACATCAATACAATCCCCGGAGAACAATCCCCAGTGTTTTACTTACACAGTACCAATATGTACTCTCACAAGCAAACTGCATTTGCAAAACAAATTTCTGTCTTGTGTTAATCAAAGGAATCTTCACTGCTGGAGTTCAGTCTCGAGTCTGTTGGGTACCAACAATCAGTGCATTGGTTTTCCCTGACTGATAGTCAGTGTTTCTGTAACAATACACAAACGTGTGTGGGCGTTGTACATGTAAAGGTCGGTATGACCTAAAATTTAACAGAAACCCCAATTGCCCCTTCCCTTCAAATTCATCCCTGGACCGCAGCAAAGCCCATTCAACATGAGTGATGAAGTTACACCATTGTGAGTTTCCCCATTGGCTGTTGCTCTTTTAATAGGCCCGATTGAGCCTCGCTGTTCATATTAGAACCTCATTTGTTCACACCGGTCATCAAGTGATTCTGCTCTCCTGCCATTTTCTAAACACATGTAGAGCTAATCTTTATAATTAAGGGCTGTGTGTCCCTTCATGTCTACCTGTGTCTCTTTCTCTGCTTAGATATAACTGGGAAATATGTGGAATGTGTACTTGATTCAAAAAGCACAACAGTGATTCAGTTTCTGATACATAAAGTGCACGGGCAGAGGAAACTGGGGCAGAGTAAGCAAAATCATTGGCAAGTATGGGATGCATATTTCACCATTTATCAGAATCCAATCCTTTATATCATACATGGAAAACCATTTATATTGTTTATAGATCATCAGTGTGTTCTCTCTCCAGATACCTCGCGGCACACAGGAAACAATAGAACAGAGGCCAACGCTATCGCTGCAGATGGTGGCAACCCAGAATAGTTCACATGAACAATTAATATCCAGGAATTCACGTTCTAGAAACTACTGCTGACAATACACAGTTCAGCCATATACTCGGTTTTGACCTAGTCTTGTTCATGTCTGTACGTTCCTCTATTGGTGAAGCAGTTGACTTTGCAACTTTGCATTGACTTTGCATGACACCTCTACATTTCGCCTTGCGTCGTATAACTACTGCAGGGAAGCATCAAGTGTAGCAAATCAAGAACCGAAGTTGGAGAACAAATAGACCGCGGATAAAAAAACCTGGAGTGGCTCTAGAGTGACCATTGAAAGCAGCGGCTCCGCTCCGCTCACACAACCTTGACACACTGACGGGGCTAACACACACGTCTGCACGTCCCTATATGGACTTACAGAGTTAATGCAGAGGTGCACTGGTGCTACTCTAGTGGCTCTTGGTGGCCGGCACGTTACTGATCGACCAAGTTCACTTTCAAATGTGGCTAGCTTACGTTTTTCAGTTAGTGACTTAAGCTTACTTTAGCTCTAAGTAATTACTTCATTTATTTAACTGCATTGTGTATTCACTACCGTCGTTAGTGACTTCAGTCTCACCTGTAACCACGCTGACTGTATGATCGTAGCCAATGGCAACTATGCAATAAGAAATGCTACTAGGATGTTATTTGCTCATTTATGCTTCAGGAAGGAAATCAAACGAGAGTTCATATCCAATCAGAGAGGATTATGTGATGTGAAATTGATTTAATTAAACTTTTCCATTATGTGTTTTTGGTGAATACGTTTGTATTTGGTTTGGTTGTCCGTTCATTCTCCATTCGGGATTGTCGGCCTTAATCAGTTGGGATGACGGTGAACTCATGATGTGTTTGTACCTTCAGTGGCAGGTTTTGTGATTTGATTCGATCACTGCTGTTGGACAGTTATATTTCAGTTTCAGATACTTTAATGTCCATTAAATTTACATAAAATGGATACTCATCTTTAGCACTGGCAAAAGGGACAACACACACTATACACAACAATACACAACAATACACAACACACAATAAAAAAACAGATGCCAGCAGCCGAAGGTCAGCATTGGCGAATGCTCGCCCTTGGGGACTGTGTTGAAGTCTTCATTTGTTTTTGTTTTCCTTTTATACACAGACGTATCTAGTCACAGGCAATGGTGCTCTGGGATATATTGTTGTTCTTTCTTTT